AGGCATGCCGGCCTCAAACTCAAATCGATCACACTGCCTTTAGTTACCGATGGCGCAGATCAATAACTGGCTGCGCTCGTTTTGAGACATATTTGTGGATTCTAACCACACATTCGTCCCGAGTCGCTTCTCCTTATGTTTTCCTGGGCCACGCACGGTGCGAACAAATCGCTTGGCAACTGAGAGACTGGCAGATCCGCATGTTCGACGAACCTACTAGAATCGTCTTCTGGAATCTCTTCCAAATGCTCCCCCGCCAGAAGTGAACGCACACTGGAATGGGATGTGTATAGTGCTGAGAATTTCACCTGTGGCACGGCACCACCAGGCACACTCAAACACTGGATATCAAACCGAACAGTGGCACTACTTACGTCTCGGAGAAATATCCATCCGGATCCGAACATAACTTGATGCGACGAATAATCAGATGTCAAGTGAAAGTGAGCATGCGAGCAGACCGTGAAGTGTGACGGACACAGGAATCCAAAGAAATGGAAGAAGTCCAGAAAGCCGGGAATGCCCGAAGATTACTTCAGTTGGCCCGTCCGACCGGTTCCCGGAAACCACCTATGGGCGAAACCATCAAGGATCGGAATGGAGTAACCATCTTGAATAAAAAAGAACTCAACCGTTGGGTCGAATACTTCGAAGCATCGGTGTTGAATACTGAGGTCCTGTTGCCGATGATGATGATGTGTTTGACCATGGGCACCTCGAAGGGTTGCGAATGTCTGGTAGGAACACCGAGTCAGTGCTCCTGAGGTACACCAGATGGTCTTCGGGAAAGTCCACTGTCTCTCTCTCTCTCAAAAGATCAGATGGTCGTACTCTTCAGGTCATGCTGGTTAGGCCATGTACTTTCGATGGAAGAGGACCGTTTTCCTCCTAAAGTCTTCTTCGCTCAGCCTTGTGTTAGATTGGAAGGCCCAGGAGTAGTCAGTCCATGACACGTCAATGAAGTATGAAGGTCCTTATCAATCAGCTCAGTCGCATCGGTCACTGACGTCAACCCGAATAGAGGCCGCGGGACAAGATAAACGAATGGTTAGTGGTCCTGAGAGGCATGGCTGTGTCAGATGACCAGTGGCGGTCGTGCATCAAAACTGTCGCCTCCGATGTGTAGCTCAGATTGTCTGCTATACTGGACAAACGGATTTGCTTGGAGTCGGTGCACAAATTGGGCTATCGCCTCCGACGTGTAGCTGTAATTCCCTAGTTCTCCTTATCATGTGCGAATAAAGCTGTAGAGCTGTTATCACCGCATTTCGATGCACCGTTTTCGAGCTGGAATAATAATAATAATAATCGTTCAAGTGTAGAACCTTTTCGCCACCTAGTTGCCATGCTACCCGAAGGAAGCAGGAGAGCTGGGGTACTACCATGCTGCCCAAGCCCAGACATGAGAAGTCGAAATGAAGAGATCGGGTTCGAACCACGGACCCTTCGATCAGCAAGTTCATGCTCTAACCGCTGAGGCATCTCGCCCCCCTTCCACCCCACTTTGGGATGGAAATTTCCATTGAATAAGCTCACCAATAAGAGACAAGCTAGTGGCGAACTAGTCGGTTAATTCGGTGATATCGATATTTAAGCTTTCTGAATTTCGCGTAAGAGTTGATAAAAAACTCCATCCATCTGAGTTAGAATCAGTGATGTAATAAAAAAGCAAATTTATTATTAATATTGATTTCGAACGGTTTACAAGCTGTGTTGCACGAAGATGACTGTCCAGTAGAATCCACCTAACCAGAATGACCTCAACTCCTCTGCCGAAAACCATTCGGACACCAGTGCGCGCCGAATCCGAGGCAGTGAGGTCTCCTCAAAGTCGTCTGAAGAACTGCATGGCAGAGTCCGGACGGCAGATAAGGTCATATAGCGAATGGGGAATGTTTTGGGGCGCATATATTATCATGGTCATTATGATCATCATCGAGGCGAGATGGACCAAGCGGTTAGAGCGCGAATTTACTGACCGAAGGGTCCGTGGTTCAAACCCGACCTCTGCCTCTCGGCTTCCCCTGTCTAGGCTTGGGCAACCTGGCAGCATCCCAGCCCTCGTGTGGCATGGCAGCCAGGAACCCAGAGGGTGCTACAGCTGAACGATTTTTTTATTTTCATTCTCATCACCATCACTAGTGTCGTATCAGCATACCAATTAGTTTGAATAATGCCTTGTGATGGAAAGAAGAAAGATGAGGCAGGAATGGAGACATAAGACCAGCCTACTACAAGTATATGAGAGGCGTGCATCTTGAAAAACCTAGACATAAACTGACAAAAAGAGATTCCGCTAGCCCTTATATCATTCATTACTTTCAGTCAAGCACATGGAGGGCCACGTTGAGACCACCCTGCGAGGAAAACAGCATAACGTCCTTCATTTCCTTTTGCCATGCAAACATTTTTCCACCTCTAGGCGAGATAGCTCAAGTGGTTAGAGCGCGAATCGACTGACCGGAAGGTCCGTAGGTCGAACCCGATTTCTGCCTTTTGACTTCCCCTGTCTAGTCTTGGGCAACCTGGCAGTATACCGGCTCCCGTGGTTCCCTCTGGTGGCATGGCAATTAGGCACCGAAAGGGTGCTACAGCTGAAAGATTTATTTATTGTTTATATTTATAGGTCTCCGTTACTTCGAATCAGGCACCGTAAACAATGATTTCCTGGGCATACGGCAGCCTGATATGCGTAACAGAGCCCGAACACCTTAGATTGCAGCGTTGGACGCTTACCTTGATTAAATCACCTTCTACTTCATCGGAGAGCCGCATCTGATCACTTCATCAACCGTGGTTTTGATACCTAAAAGTGTCTCATATCCTCCACTTGACGTGGCCAAGTCTCGCAGCTGCACAACAAAGCCCGTGTTATACGCACCCTTTGAGACCCAGTGCTGTGCCTTATTGGTGCCATATTTGACGCGAATTGGCGAAAGCTATTTCAGCCCCTAAGATTCGTGCGCTAACTTTGCCTGTCACGTTACTGTCAGAGCTAATACAACTCCCGAGATACGTACAACGCTCCACAAGTTCCAGTGTTACCCCTTGAATTCTTAGAGTCGTGTTCAAAGGATGCATGTCCCGCACTACTACTTTGCAATTTGTTTGCCGAAGGATTGCTTGAGCTTGGTCCGCTTTTCCTGTAGTGCTTATGCTTCCTGTTCTTTCTCATTCCAGATCGACATGGCTGTCAATCGGACAGATCTCAGTACCAGCATTTTGAAGGACTACCAGAGCTCGCCTCATTACTTCACCAATAAGGAACCTATACAGAACCTATACAGAACCTATACAGAGAGAATGGATACCCTTGTCGGACAGCAATGCCTGTACTATCGACATGGAAGAGTATGTATCCGAACTTCAGTTTCAGTTTATCGAACTTCGCTGCCTTGTGGTAGACGGCTGCGTCGTTCCAAAAGCGGGGCGGCCGAGTACTTGTACGGTCGCGGACAGTACTCTCCAGTAAGAGTACACATCAGAAGATGGATTGTCCGAATGAGACTTCAGTAAAGTTTTCGTAGATTTGCTACACATTACGGTCGGAAAGCCCAAAAAGATTCAGGTTATTGTCTCTAGCAAATCCGCCCAAACCTACATACTCCAATAATTCAGCTGATTTCACCGACATTCGTCGCACCAAGTCCAACAGGTATGAGACATTCAAACTCGCCAATCCTAGCTCGGTTCAGGTTGAAATAAGGTAATAAAAGATTGGGCGTACCAGTTTGAGTGACATCTCTTCTGAACACGCCAACGACCTTCCACATGTCCCCTCAATTCCATGTCTATTTTTGCGGACGACTTGAAATCCTGCAATTCAAATACCAGTGCCCCCACTCGCAAACAGATGTAGACGCTGAGAAGTAGTGGTCGTTGAACTGGCACCTTCTTCTGAACGACGAAAAGTGTCCATGTCATCCGGAGGAGACCCACAGAACACCTTCATCATGCACGTTGAGAATGGACCAGAAATCACGAGGATAGATGCCAAAAAGGATTAGGGTACCTGGCTATCCTCAAACTTGTCCTTCTCATTGCACCATGAGAAATCAGCCCAAAAGGTGTTCGCCATTTCACGGATGAATTGGGGCACATTCTACCGTATTACTCGCATGGACTTCCGAATACTCTATGGGGCCTACGTCAGACCGCTTCTTGAATATGCCAACCAAGTTGTCTACTCAGGACACAACCCTCATTGAGCTTGTCCAACGAGCTGCTACGAAAATGATTGACGGCCTTAATCCGTAGACTATGAAACGCGTCTCGCGGTGCTTGATCTCATTCCATGGAGTGTCGTCGCCTCCGAGGAGACTTAATACTTAAATACGCCCCGTTTGAACAAGGTTTGGCCAAAAGCTTTTCCACTATTGATTACCGGTGAAAAACGCTCTAATACACCGCGAGGACATAGTGAGCAGATTTTTAGGCAAAAATGTTTCTCATTTCTCATTTCATCTTACTGTTGTTCGCGCTAATCTAGTATCCGCTTCAAATAATTATTAGACGTTTGCGTGAGTCCTCGCGCTGGCAAACTTACTGCCCCGCGCTGAGAACTTAAAGAGCAGTGCCACACCTTTTTCACCTGTGCTTTTCAGGTGAACGGCAGTTGCTGAACGACACGAACAAAACTGACCCAGGAAACTTGGGGAAAAGCCTCAACACTGTGCATCAATCAGTGAATCCGTGATACCGACGACCACCGTAACGAGAAATATCCAGTGGCTTGCCTTCTCTTGAAGGACCGGCCGCATCCTCAACGCCAGTTTGAGCAGACGACTTTGCCCCTAAAATGGACCAATCTCAAACCCGGAGTGCAACACAGTCGAAAGTCACTGTTTTTAGTCGACTGGGCCATGATAATGTAACCCCACAAAGGTGAATTTGTTGCACACAATACTTCGTGAAATCGATCCTACTATTTGTGAAGCTGTATGGCCATATGCAAAATACAACCGAGAAATAGAATAATAACAAAGAGTCGGAAAACAAACCTGGAAGAGCTCCCCATTACTTATGAAGCCATCTTTGTCCATATCGTAGATTTTGAAAGCGAACCGAAGCTTCGCCTCCTTATCACCTTTGACACTGAACTGCGACATTCCGTTTATGAATTCCTTGAAGTCAACCTCCCCGTTGCCATCGGTATCAAATATTTCTATCACTCGGGCAACAAGGGGATTCTGTTTCAACTCGGGTAAACTCATAAACTCCTTCACACTTAGCGAACCGGATCCATCCAAATCTAACTTCTTGAACCTCTTGGCTAGCCTCTTTATCTCTTCAACATCAAATGTGGAACACAACTCTGGAAGGGAAGCCTCGTTCCCCATTTCGGAGAATTAGTGTTCGGACGACGCAGCTAGTGAAGAACTCAATACAGAACAGCCGGGTTGTACAAATCCCAGAGTCCTGATTGGTTACAAGGCCAGATGCTTCCTTCTCCAAAATCCTTGGGGATCGAGCAAAACATTCTAAACGAAAGTGCTGCATTTTGTTGTATGTATGTCCAAACCAAAATACAGCATAGTCTGTCTTGGTTTTGTTCGAATTTTTTTATTAATCTCCCTTAATTTTTGGCATTATGGTTTCAGCTATGGCCTCAGATAACTCTGTGAAGTAATTGGCTACTGTCCGGTTTTTATCCATCACGGCACTCGAGAAAGCGCTAAGCGAATATATGAATGCATATACACAGAAGAAAAACTTGACGCCTACCGCGATTAAGGTGATGACAACAAGTGATTATGCGGAATATGATGGGGATGGATTTGTACTTGGTAGAGTAGCGACCGAGGGTTGGGTTTGCTAACATACGATATTAAGGTACAAGGGATCAAGTAAAATCCTATATAAGCACGCAGAGTTGTGGTTTGGTTAGCGAAGCAGATGTACAAGAACTTAAGGGAGTGAACTCTGGAGATGGTGGACTGGTTAATCTGGCGTTTATTACATGAGCTGGACAGTACCAGGATAGAAATTAAGTGAAAGAGAAACGGTCACCAGCCCCCCAAAGCACTGCTGTCAGCTTCAAACTAACAAACGGTGCATGGTAATTAAAAAACTTTTGGGCACTGGCCTTTCAGCTTGAAGTGAAACCCATTGCTCAAAGAACCGCACATCCCAGCCCAAGGACCATAAATGTGACGTCCGTTACAGGGCTATCCAAAAGCCGACGCATGTCGGGCAAATGATGGCACAGTACTGCCATACCAAGTTTCATAGAACACACGCAACTATTCCCTTTTTTCAACCTCACCTTCTCGCTCATTCGTTCCATTAATTGCAAATACGAACAAGCTCCTCGCCTGACCCCCGCTGCCACCATGACATATTCATTCCAAACTGCTGAACCTTTCGTTCGAAATTAACGATTTCTTTGAGTCTTCGCTTTCCACAAAATTCAATAACTTTCTATACAGATGGTGTTTCTGCTTGTGTGTTACCATCATCCCACTCTTCCGAACAACTATCATGCACGACTCAACAATTGCGACACCAGTGAGTCTGCACAATTTCGCTGCGCACCTGTTTCCGAGATTCTTGTTTCCTCTTAACCGCTTTGCTAATCCCGCCACTTCCTCATCCCCACTTGCGCTTTTTGTGACCCTTGCCATAAGGTCTTATCAGCGGTTTTATGTTTCAGTTCAATATGACCGCCTGGATGACGTCAACTCTGCTTCTTTGCTTGACCTGATGTTCTGGTTCCTCATTTTACACCGTTACATTTTTCTTGTCATGTGCCACGCAAGAAGCCTCTTACTTTTCCCTCCCTCGCTTTGTTTTTTGCCCGTTATCTTGAAGCCCTAGTGATCCGATCTTGCTTGATGTTCTCTCAGAAAGGCATTGTAACTGTGCCTCCCTGTATGTGCCGGTTTAGTGGTGACCACGTGGTGGTGTCCCACAATGATGCTGTTGCTTTTTTAAACCCCTGTGCCCACAACCCCCCTAATCGTGCTTTTATTCTGGCTGTAACATTATGATGATACCTGGCGGTATGCCACCTACAATTTGGGGATAATCATCATCACAACTACCCGTTTAAGACAGCATGCTCCAACTGAAGCGAATGAAAAGAGCAGTGAGTGCCTGTGGACTACGTGACCCGCATCTCAGCATTATAGAGGCCACGTCACTCAAGAAAACAGTGCTAATGAGTACGAGTATAAGAGCCAAAAACATGAACATGCGTCCCTTCAGTACCTGCAGCAGTCCTTTAGCCGGAAAAACTAGATTGCCCGATCAATCTTTATGTATCTGTATGCCACCTTTTAACACCTGCACAAGACGGTACTCAATGTAGGGCATTGAGTTTTTTTGCGGTGACCTGCGCTGTCAAATGACACGAAGCCGATGGTTTGGAAACATATTTTTGTCAAGATCAATTCCAGCAACAATAGAGGCGTTTGATCCGCTTGAAACAGTCGCACCTGAAGAAAACAATAATGGGTAAAAATAAAATTTTGCAGCCGAATATTTGCACCCGGAGCCTCGCTCGCGAAGCTTGCAAGGAAGACGCATACTGGATTCCACTGTTGCATCACTTTGGAGAGGTGATGGATTTTACGGCAGAAGAAACTCACCCGCCACCCACACATCCAAGAAGACATAAGGGTCAACGAATATAGATGAAGCATACTGTCATCTCACTAAGCGAATTCACTTGGATAAATTACTGTTAAAGCATGTTCTTTTGATTGCACATAAGGCACATAATGCTGGTCTGTCGAGTGAGTCGCCGATGCGACTACAACGAAGCCGCAGTTGACAGTGGTTACATTGCCACCAGCCAATCATCCACGCCTCACAGACGCCATTTGTCGAACGCCAGACACCGCAGACATCAGCGTCAGCGCGTGACACAATCGGTCCTTTCTTACAGCGTATTGTTGCTGCAATATACTCTACAGAGTCCCGCATTTTGCGATCACGCTATTTGCTACACTGCAGGTAATAGTTATCACTCTGAAGATCAAACATCACGCCTGCCATCTTGTCCTGTTATACATGAAAGAACTCCTTTCCGTGCGCCTGTTTGTGATGGTGTTGGAGGCTATTGGCTTACCGTTGCAGTTCACGGTGCTTCAACGCCTGGCGAGGAAAGCCCGACATTACAGTCCGTCATGGATATGGATGCCGCGCTCTGTATTTCGACAGTGGGATCGCCTGTGATACCCTTAGTGGACAGCAGCATGCTTTATGCACGACCCGCGCGAACTTATCGGGTAAAAGTTCGCAAGAAACGAAAACGTGCATCAAAGTTAGAGAAACCAAGGAGGATGTTTGCTTCGTTATTACTGAATGGGATATTTGAGCTAACACGCAGTTGAGATGACTTGCTTTACGGATGGTCTGTACTAACACCCATAGTCTCCGCACCGGTAGTTAATGGTCGAACATTGTTTAATGGCAAAAGCCAACCTACTGGACTTAACCAAGGGAGCCAGTGATTGTCCATGGTAATCTGCGGAAAAGGCCATATGGTGACGTGACACTAAACAATAGTTTTCAGATGAACGCGAGCATTTCACTGGCTGCCCCACTGGAAATTGGGGACGATTCCGAACTTTGGGTCAGCTCAACACTCTTTTGATCGTTGCGATGGATACGCTCCTGGGCGCATGGCGTCGGGTGGCACAGACAGCCCGAGTAAGACGGCGATCCCGCACAATTTAGTGAGCACCAGAGGAACGATAACGAGCACTATGTGCTTCACTGCCAATTGCCCATTCCTGTTGATAATGGCCTGAACACAGGTGATCGACTCAGTTATCATCCACTTAATGTGCCTACAAGCAGAACGGACCCAATTTGTTGTCTCATTACGAAGGGTGACGGCATGCTTTCGAGCATGTCTCGTCCGGGTAGTCCGATCGGACATGTAATGCTCACTGAGGTAGGACTGGCATTCTTGATTACGGCTTCTAATACTAGTGGCACAGACGACAGGTTCATTCGCTTACCTGAACTATGGATTCCGACTTGACTGGGCAGACAACTATCTGAGTTAATCAGTCCCTATGCCTCTTAATCCAGAACCATGAAACTTTGTAACATGTGAGAAGAACAAAAAGTGACATAGGCATGCGGCATCTCTGCCCTCATCCTACCACAATCGTTCTACTAACATTCACCAGCAACATCGTTCTCACAAGGTGTTCAAAAACCATACCATAAAATTCCTGTGATGCACTACGGATAGAAGAGTAAAACCTGCCACTAGCAGCACCATTGCGATAGGTGATTACCACATGTAACAGGCCGTATTTAGATCTGTTAAGCTGACACGTTGAGTCAGACCGCACGTAGTCGTACTTAGAAGCAAACCAAGAAACAGAATGGCAGCGAGGGGCAAAAACTCTAGATTACCATAACTAAAAAACAGACACTGTGATGGGTCCTACTATGGGCAGGTCCTTTCAGTTGTCCTGTGGATCGCCGACAGGGCTGTTCAGGTGGCGAAGCTTCTTGCACAGGACCTGAAATATCGTCACCTTCCAAGCCAATTGCACGTTTTCCTGGTCTTCGTCACGGATTTCCATGGGTGGCTTAGAAGCCACCTGTTCCTCGTTTCGCGCTTAGACAGCGGTTGCTGGCGCATGTTTACCGGGTAGACCTTCGTAAATCGTGCGGATGTTGCGCTCTTAAATTGACAAGTGCTCGGCGAGAGTCACGGTGGGCCGCCCACATGAACAACCGGCAGCCGAAATCGGCGTGCCCGAATAGAATTGAATCAAGCGGTTATGCGGGAGATTACCAACGCACTGATGATCACGCCTATTGGTGTTCCGTTGTGTGTACATGGCTGCAGATCATGAACGCACTAAAGTTAGGTGAAGGAAGCATTTCATCAGAACTCCATTCATATTTCAGTGTCAGTATACTATACCGGCGTGTGTAACACGTGCATATTCTTCACTGGAATTCCCGCAATTTGGATCCAAATTCCGCAGAGGAATACACTCGCGACCGGGGAATTGCTGAGGCCTTTGCCCCGTCATATTACATTCGTCCAACGATACGTCGCATGCAACAAAAAACTACAATGAGGGCTTACTTGACAACATTCCAGGGCACGATGTGCTCGACTCAGGTAGTTGCTGCGTGGAATAATCTCCCCCCGATAGTTTTTCACGTTATATCTAGTGAACATATCAATAACGATTAGACGCTATTTTATGCAAATCCTGGCGCTGGCAAGAATGCTGCTCCTCGCTGGAAACTTAATGAGCAGCGCTACAGCATTTTCCACCTAGGCCTTCCAGTTGAACGGTGGCCAGTGAAAGACAAGAACAAAACCGACCCGATAAACTTTGGCGCGGTAGATACTACCGCGCGGAACGTTTGAAACCGGTTTTGTTTTTCCCTCGTGCAAATTTGTGAAAGAATTCTTTCGTTGTTTAATCTATTTACATGGTACACATGAGTGATTGTTCAATTTTATTACCCTAACAAAACGTTTGAGAGATAACCCTTGATATTTTGCGCACACTTCCTATTTTACATCTAGTCCTAAACATGACATCAATTTATAGCGATTGCCCTCTGCAGCCATTGATAGACCACAACAGATGTGGCCGAAATGGCTACCCGCCAAACGTCAAACGCGGTATGCAATGCCACACCTTCATGGCCTAGTGGCAATCCGAATGCATGGGTTTACAGTACGACCAGATAAGCCGACTGGCTAACCCTCCTAACCCGTATGTTTGCGCCAGCCGCCTCTACGTTAAGGATCCAATGCATACCGCAGTCAAGAGGAGAGATCCCAAAAACGGTACCCAATCCCCACTGCAGATTCAGAATGACCAATGTCAGTGTTCCACTTTGATCGGGATACTCGACGCGAAATTGGAGCGTCTTTCTAAGGCGCTGGTGGATTCAGACACTGAGAATGCAGCAACTTGGACGAGCGTTGACTTGGAACTTTCTTCGCTGAAAGGGTACCTCGCGATATCCATACCGGGTCCTCTGGCTGCAAAGAATTAATACAACTCTCTGACGCGGCTATAAAGACCGTCACAGCGTCTCTAGTGGACAGGCGCCTAAGGAAAAACTGATTGATAATCTGAGGGTCATTCTCCGGAAAAACCACGCCAGCGAAGCTGGCGCAGTCGATACTTGGCAATGTCATCACCAAGCCTGATAAATCGCTCCACGCGGATTGGTTACGCCAGAAGGGTAGCAAACGAACGCTTGGACTTCCAGTAACACATTCTTCTCCATCTGATGTACAGAAGATCTTGGAGCGGACTGGCAGCATTCAAAAGACCGACCCAATGATCTAGCGTCTATATAAGTGTGGCCCTCTAGACGCGCGAAAGCTTGGTCACAGCAGTTCAGGGGTGGAGGCACGAAACAGGCTTCCGCTGGGCACCAATTCAGCCGACCCCAGACTCATGACCAAGCCGATTGTGGTCATATCCCCCTGTGCTCCCGAAAGCAGGCCGATGAAACAGCTGCGCCTCCGGACAGCCGTTTTTATGCGACCACAACAGGCCTCTCGTCCACCCAAGGCAGTGATGCTCTGGAGGAGGCAAACCTCACATGCAAGCAGCGCCCAAAGTACGCGGAGCTATCAACGCTTATCTCCGTAACGGCTGCAGCCATGCGCCCATCAACAAAGCCACAATCCCTGAACTGTAATAATAATGTATATTCCCAACTTGTGGGTGGCATACCATCTGGCATGATCATGCGTTTACAGTCAGGCTGGGGTATGACAGGGGGATTTGCGGGTAGTGGGGATTGCGCGAAAAGGGGGCAATGTCATAAACAGTGGGAAGTACTCGATTAAATAATAATAATAATATGTTTCTTTTGCAA